AAACACTTTGAAAGTTTCCACTGTAACGCCAAAGAGCATATCTAAAAATGGTCTTATATAAATTTTCAGTGACGTTTGTAATTAAATACATCAAAAGTAGTAACGTCGACTCTCTCATTTTGCTATAAAAAATATATATGAAATGTTCAAATACCTAATAACAGTCAAACAACTAGCACAATGACGGATTTCAGTGAAATCTATACTATTTTTCCACTTCACTTTTATACCTATATATTTTTAATACGTAAAAATAAATGCAAGGGTTCTTCATACAAAATGAAGCATTTGTTCCAAACTTTACTTTCAAAATACGAGAAAAAAGCAACACCGAGCGACGTTTTTCAAATATTTCACTCATGAGACGTAATAGATGAAAAAGTACTCGATTCCATTGGCTACTAACTCGATTGATGGGTAATCGTTCAAAAATTACTTGAAAAGTATTTTATGTGATTTACGATTTGGGTATAGCTTCAATTAAATAACAAAATCTATAGAGTAAAATCGATGTTTACTGGAATTAGTTCCAAATGATTTATTCTTTGTCTTTACACACCTTTGGATATTTTTCCCAATCAGAACTATTAAATAAGAGAAAACCTGAATATTCAGTTTTGACCGTTACCACACAAAAATAAAGAATCAGCCCACTGTGAAAATGGATATATCAGCATTAATAATAATTGATGAAATTAGAATCAAATGTTCGAATCATACTTTATTGAATGTTAGACCGCGTGAATTACATAAAATGATTGTAAAACGAAAAACTTTATACTTTCATTTTAATTTTAACGTTTTTGCCACTTTCAATGCAATTTTATTGGACTTTAAATGTTGTCACCTCCAGGAATTCACCGAAATTGCGAGCACTCGGCAATTCTTTCTTCAATGCAACTTGTAAATCGCGTGCAAGTGTTTCAATGCGTTTTTTATCGCTAACCGAGAATTTAAGTGCAACGATTTTCAAGTCCTCAAGTAAGGTAGGTTTGTCGGTTTTTTTCAGAGCATCTACATTATCCAAAGCATTTGAATTTTCGGCAAACGAAACGAATGTTTTCAATAGGTAGTCCAAATTTTTTCCCATTTTGTTCAATTGTAAACCCGGTTCATTCACCATTTGTTCGTTCTGTTCAAGTATGTCCGAACTCTTTTTGATTTTTTTCGGTTTTGATTTTACTAGACTCAAATACTCGCTATAAACTGATTTGAACATAAAACAACATTCATTCCATCTATCAATTGCTTGTTTCAATTGTGGCGTTAGCACGGTGAATACGTGAAAAACGGAATCGTAAAAGTCAGTTAATACTGGCTTCGAATCTTCATCAGCATTTTTCTGAATATATGATCGAACTTGTTGCAAATGAGCTTTAATTTGCTTTTCACGCTTCAAAACATCAACAATTGACCCAAATTCAATTTTGTTACAATTAAATTGAGGCGTTGAATCTGAAAAATCTTTGAATTGGTGAGAACTTTCAGCTACATCCTTCGACCTTATGTTGAAGATGTCTTTAAACTATAGTTAGAGTGAGAAAAAGACAAAAAAGACATTTTGTAAGAGACATTTGCTTCATTTTTATTATTCCAAATATACTTATTTTTTTATTACTTACGACGCCTTGTTTCCCAGCGGCCAATGAGGACTGGATCTAATTTATTTTTATTAAAAAAGAGTTTTTCTGGTAAATTTACAACTATTGTCACAATTTTTCAAAGTGATAAGTAATTTAGTCTATGAAAATTATTCGACCTTAATAAAGGACTGAAAGTTAAACCATGATTTAATTTATGAAAATGGAGAAAAAAAACTGAGATCAAATATCAATCGCTTACGTGGATAAAAGATAGATAGAATACAGCAAACAAGAGACGCATTTTGCTTGAATAAGACAATAAATAACTGACTGATTGTGTATTGTAGGTATTAGGTATTTATACTTTTTTTCTGCGCAGAAAAACCATAAGACGTGAAATGGAATTTAAACGAATTCTTTTCTCAATGTGTGTTATTTGGGCGTTTTTTTTTGTAATTATTGGTTCGAATTTGTCCGCATATCAAGCTTAAACTTAATTTGGTTAAAAAATAAATATTTCTTTGAAGACCAAATGGTCCAAATGTTTTCAATTCTCGTCCATGAAATCGATATTTGCAATGCAAAAATCCCATAATTCAAGTTTGTTTTGAACGGTATCGCTTACAATTTCCATATATAAATATTATTGGACGCCTAAAATATTATAACGCATAAGTTCAAACGACACGTGTAATTTTGTTGAAATTGCAAAAGTGAAAAATGAGCCAAATTTTAAAATTGGGCCAACAACCTAAAGCAAAAACTTTCCAATATTGATGTTGTGTATATCTTGTAAGTGGCCAAAAAATATTAAGCCAGTGGAATTTTCATTTCTCCAAAATCGATTCGAAACAGATATTTTTTTTCTCCCACTAGAAATATTACAAATACTTTTTTATATTGAAGATACTCATTGAACAACGGCTGAAAGAAAAACAGAGAAAAGTTCGCTACAGAAACGATCATTAGAGATGTCGAATGCATGATTTTAAATTCGATTTATCGTACACAAGATAGAAACACAGCCGGTCAGTTCATAATTAAAGTTGCATGTTCTATTCACACGGTTTGCAGTGAGAAGCTTAAGTAAAATCGGATGTCGTAAATTCCAACAGGTTTAACGGCGCGTATACTAAAACCGTCTGTTTTGTTTTGAGTACGACTGGTGGAATAAAAACTTCTTTATTTTTTTTTTGCATTATGTTTAAATTGGTTACTTTTTTACAAGTCTTTGACTCGCATTTTTTCTTCGGTCATTGAAAAAGATCTGAATAAAATAAGACGGCATTTTGAAAACGGACACGCAGGGAGTTATAAATTGTCAATAATCTGAAATATTCAATTAAGAAATATTCATTCTGGAATTCGATGTAGCATAAATTTGAACAAATTTAAATCCATATGACATATCGCGTATGTAAATCCAAAGAAACAAATGTAAATTTGAAAATCCGGCCGCTAGGTGGCGTTACTAATACACAAGCATTTTATTCACATACTAATGAACTGTCAAAGAATTTTACGTTTTTTTTTAATTCTGCGGTGTTTTACTCAAAATAAACAACACAACGCACCGACCATTGTGCGATACAATAATTTTCTATGCATTTCAAATCATTATATTATCCATTAAATACATTAGTTATTTGAACATCGGTTGCTCATTCGACCTGAACATAAACTCATAGTAAGTAGATACATTATTACAAAAAATACAGTTCTGTTTTGCATTTGAAATTATCGGTTGTATTCTTTTGTTGATCGGACTTTATTGAATAATTGAACAAATAATGTGATAAATTGAAGAAGTAATTCGTTTTTGGTGTCAAAATTTCCACTGTCAAATATTGCTTTATTTTTATTTTTCACAAAAAAGAAGTTTTGACTTTCATGCAATCAACAAATGACAATAAAACGCATTCTTCAACAAGTAAATGCATTAGTTTGACCAAAGTATTTTTTTGTTTTTTTGTTATCATTTTTCTCTGTAGATTCCATCAAAATGGGTTCCGAATCAAAACAAGCAAAGTTGAATGAGTTGGAGCTTGATAAAGCTGATCGTCAGCGAATGTATGAATGCTTACCGTTGCACATATTTCGCGAACACACAAACATTCGCCAATTGATCATTGATAAATTTGTCGCACAGAAAGGAAAACAGCCGACTGAATTTCATATTAAACAAACTGTCAAAAATGTGTACAATAAAATAGTAACCAACGACTTGGACGATCCATTAAACGAATTGATTGATGAGGTCGATTTCATTTGGCCAAATGGTGAAAAAAGGTAAGAATTTTATGGTGAATTCAATTTGCGTCAATCTAAATTACGATTCGAATATTGATAGGTGTCCGAAAATGTGGACATTGACCAAAATTGAACGTGATATAATTTATAAGAAAGCATCGTTTTATCAAAAAAAGTTTATATATTTACCACGTCATGTACTCGAACAAGCGACAAATATGCGAAAAGTGATGGAAGAACATGCGATCATATACAAACGAGATTTAAAAAAATTGGATGCATACATTAAAGGAGTGTGCGAAACGATTCATTTGCCTGATCAATGGTATAAGTTTATGCTACATTTCAAGTTCAACGACGAAGTGGAATCCGATACAGACGTGATCGAAGAACAAAATGAACCTGTTCGAAATGAACGCACAACACAGCGTGATGAACCCAGCGTAAATGCACCAAAACGGGCAGATGCTAGAGAGAAGAGAACCGAATTTAAACGAAAAGAAGCAAATTCACATCAAAACGAAAGAATTAATGTGGCAAAAAGATCAAAGGACAATCCAACAAATACGAAGGAAACCCCATCAAGTTCCAAAGACAACTCATCAAATTCGAATGAAAATTTGAGAGAAAAACCACCGACAAATAGCATGACAACTGTTCAACAAAAATCGAACTCAAATCGATCACAAAATGATGATTCGAAGCATAGCGCAAGAAGTAATTCATTGAATGAAATTGATGGGGAACCAAGTGAATTTCAAAAGGAAGTGATTGCGATGGACTACGATACATTTGTAAAGCAAACAAATGTCAGCGATTTGGTGAAGCAAGATTACCAAAAACAAAAAGGAAATCAAGAACTTAAACTGCAAAACTTGGAATTTGGCTTGAAGTTTTATTTTAGATTCAAAAATAAGCCGGGTAATTGGAAGAAATGGCATAGAAATTCAATTAAAAATTTAAAATATAAAACTTGCGAATGTCAACGAAACAAAATGTATCAAAATAATTCAACGCAAACAAATGAAGCACCGCATTTCCATGAAATCGCTATACAATGTAGTGAAAATGACATTGACACTAGCTTAAAGCGTGATAAGAATAGTGGTCGGCTTGTTGGTCTATCGATTCAACATATTTCCGATGCCACAATTCACATTCAATGCGAGAACCAATCGAACGAACCAAGTTCTATTTGCAGCTCCGACTCAGAACATAGTAAGTTCATGCAATCTTCTCGAGAATTTTTTTATCCTCAAATGGTGCCAATTTAATCATTGTATATTTTTTTTCAGATTTGGTAATCGATGAATCGGCGATGTCACCGCAAGATGAGACCAAGGATAACATTGCAGTGTCCCGCATAGAGTCAGATGAACCATCGCAACAGATCGCCCAAGTTCGAATGTCTCAATTTAACGACGTCAACGATTTGGATCAAGAAGAACAATTGTCAAACCAAAATCCACTTGAGTCGGAGACAACTTTAGAAATGTCCATCGGTAAGGTTACCATGTTTTGAATTGAGACGAAAACTGATAATTGTCATTTCAGAGCCAATTACGGTAAATCAAATCCAAGAAACGACCTATGCATCCGGGTCAATTGGTAGTTCAAGTTTTCGAATAAGTCCAATTGAATCGCGTCAAAATGTAAATATTGATGAAAGAAGCAAATTGGTTGAATTGATGCACGTTGAAACCTTACACAATAATAATGTAACTAAGCAAGAGCCTAATTCGTCGTTGGAATATCGAGTGGGCGACGATAGTGACGTCGAATATATGGGCCCAATGCCAGAACTGATTTTAGAAATAAGCGATGACCTATCAACTCAAGAACAACACATGCAACTGAATTTTGAGGGTTCGGATGACCTTCAACCTGAATTTATTCATGCAATTCAAATGGTATATACTTTAAACTTTATCTTGAATATTCAATATCTTTTCACAAAATCTTATCAAATTAAATTGTTTTCTTTTTTAACTCTAGCCCGAGCACGGGCGTAATATAGAACAGTTGATTTGCCTAACATCAACGCCGGTTGAAAAAAGTAAGACATGATTTTTTTTAAATTGAATTTGAACTGATGTTAACCATTCTTAGATCCACCAGCAAGTCGATTAAAAAATATCGTAAATGTTCAAACGACTCGAACAAGACCAATTCGAAACAGACGACCAGCGATCGTACCTAGAGTCACAAGAGGTCGCCGAAAAGCAAATGAAGAAACCCTGTCAACCATTCAAGTGCCAAAATATACATATGCTCCATTACGATTCAATGGTCAACCAACTGTCGAAATGAATCAAGCCAACATTTTTAATGATCCGCCCATGCAAATCGATGAATCACAATCATCATCGGACCACTCGCGAAATTATGAAATTGAAGAGAGCAGTTACATGGACGGGGACAAATCCAGGACAACAGTAACGCTTCCAACGAGAAAACTACGTCAACGAAATTGACGTCATATACAACAAAACTTTAAACAGTGCTGCATCTATTCAAAATGACTTAAAGGCAACCAGAGATATAATCAACCAAATCAAATGGAAATATACTCATATCTATTGCTGATGATGGAAGCCAAGCACATGAATCTCAAACATTTACAGTATTGCAATTTGCAGAGATACTTATTTATTTTATTTAACACTGCCGTGTACACGTGTACAGGCCGAAACCAGTGTTTGGACATTTACTGGATATATCTACAGACACTTGTCTATGCTTGCATTACACACACATTTATTTGACTGAGCGCTCAGCTCAGCAGATATATACAGCAAATTTCCAAACACCGACTGAAACCTACAATTTATCTATTGTGCCTTGGTAAACTCATCGATTAAAAAAAAAAAAACAAATATACTCTACTTATAAACTTAAGGATAAAAAATACCGATGTTTTTTGTATGACTTTTCATATTTGATTTATATGGGGTTTGACCCATTTTGTTAAAATAAAATTAATAAAGAACCATGTTTTTATTGGAATTCTCACAATTTTCTTTAATTGGTTGATGAAATATGCAAAATTTGATATTCAGGGAAGATTCCGGAGTATCTTTTGATTATTCAATTTTTTTAAAAATCAATTTATGGTAAAAAATATCGCATATCAAAATAAACTAAAATCTTCAGAGCTGATATTGGGACTGGAGACGTGTGAGGCATTAGTGAGTGTTTGCACCTATTCCATATAATTTTTCTTATTATTTTTCCGCACCTGAATACAAGAAAGAGCAATAACTATAAGAAAAATGCCACCATCATAATAGTTCTGTATATTGCATTTAAATCCGATTTTGACAAAATTTGAATGGAATCATTTGATTAGTAACATTTATTCACCCTTGAACATTTTTTTGTTTTAAGAGTCTTAAATTAAGACATTAATTGGTTACATTTGAAACATGGAACTAATAAGGTAGTTTGAACTTTGATATTTACTTGTGTGGATTATAAGTACTTTATTTTTGACACTTAGTTTTTTTGTAAAAAAAGAAGTAGCATTTGGTGTTTCCTTCAAATGTAGTCTGATCAACTACAACATTTGGGTTGTTTTTCTTTATACAACTACATATTCATTCTATTATAGTAATAGTACTATATTTGATGAAAACCTTATATTTTCTTTTCCATAATGAATGAACAACAGAAACAAAAATTACAAGTAAAAAAAATATGATTTGATTTATTAAATTGAACCGAATTAAAATTGCTTCGTTGCATATCTTGTGGCGTTAAATCAAGTCCGTTCACAGAAAATAGTCTTTTGTCAAGAAACATTACGATTTAACAAATGATTTAAAACCGTTTTTGGTTTAACATTTGCGCGATTACTAACCCGTGTACAAAAAAAGTGACTGACTATTTTGGGACAAACTGACTGACTATTGACTGTAAAAACAAGCAACCTTAGTTAAATTTAGTTAACTTCAATCAATTAAAGTAAGCTATGGTTAACTGCAACAGCTAACTATAGTTGACAATAATCATAGTCACCCGATAGTCGAAACGTCCCAAAATAATCGCCTGACTGACTGAGTAACTATAGTCGATTGTTTTCCATACAAAATTTTAAAATTCATGAATATAGCTAACTATAGTCACTTACAGTCAATAGTAACTTAGTCACTTTTTTCCACTCGGGAATGCATATTGTTATTTGCAAAAGTATCTTAAATGTCGTTCTTTTTTTTGCTCAAAACTTTGAAATCATGCAAACAATACGCAAACATTAATCTAAAAAAATCTTCCTTTTGTGAATCAAATAACAATGATTGATTGAATTCATCGAGAATAAGATTTAAAGTCCACTGAATAAATTTATTTGAAAATAAAAAAATAAAATAAAGTGTCACATAGCGTTCACGTTACCTGTTCGATGCGGTGTGCATGTGGTGCTATGCTACTGATCATATAGTCGCGAGCGCCCGTGCTCACTCTATATGGCCCAAGTATTGTCAATGAATAATGCACAACAGTTCAGTATTCGCTTGACGATCAAACAGTGACGATGTGTTATTTGATTTGTACGTGTGTTCATTTCAACGGTGTATGATCGAGATCACGATCGTTTTTTTTTTTTTTTTTGTTATTGTGTTAATTGAACGTGTGGTGGCAATCGGTACGGTGTTTATTATACGCACGAGAAACAAAAAAAAACTAACAACCGAAGAACAAATCATGTCAACTGTTGTAGTTGGTTGATGATTGTGATATTGCTATTTATCTAGTGGTATTTCACTGACGAAATCGACGAAATTAAACAGATGTTTGGCATTTTCGTAATTTCATTAAATCGGTATGAAAATATTCGATTTTTCTCATTGGTATTGTTGGAACGGTCGACGAAGATGCAAATGTGCGATTTTCAAGGCATTCAATTGAGTGACTTAAGGGTTAAATCGAATAATAATACTATGCAAAGATTTGGCGTGTGTATATGTGTGAATGAATTAGATCCACAAGTTGTCGCCTTTTGATTTCATTCTAGAAATTCAAGAGTGATCGATTTTTTGCTTGAAATTGTGTTCAACTAACAAATAATATTGGAATCTTGTCTGCATCTCACATCGGAAATGCGGTGAACAATAAAATCAATAAAATACACAAAACCACCGACAAAGCAGAATGAGAGACGTGAAAAAGTCAACGCTAAAGCAAAGAAATGAAGAAAAAAAACTCGGTTTTTTTTGTTCCTTCTCATAATCATTTGAGTCGATATCTTGAGTTTTCGGTGGGATTTGCTATGATTTGTTCGGCGATGAAAAACGGTTTGCGGTGAGCCAGTGTTATATTCATAATCATGCATTGTTGTTGTTTTGGGTGGGCAGATACAGAAATGTGTAAGCGAGTGAGCGTCAATTGAAATGTGAAAATACAACATATTTTCGTTCTTTGATCCATCCTGACCACGATGCTGATTAAATAGCAATCGATTCTTTGTATTCGATTGAATCAATTTATTCACAAAATTCAAAGACAATGTTGACACATACAAAAACCACTCAGACCACGCTGTATTGAAGCAAAATTTTCGTAGCCGTTTTTTCGGAATCCGTTTTTTTAAACTCGGAACTGTGGTCCATTTTGGTCGTCTTCTTTTTTTGGCGTGTCGCTTGTTTCTTTCGTTTTTTTCTTAAGAGGTTTTTTTGAGTAGCACATACAGAAAAATGATCACACTCACTCAAAATGGAAACACATTCAGTTCATATACTTGCAGTTCATTGAATGCGCCATGCATGTAAATTAGCCGCGCACTTCAAATGAGATCATTCTTTAGAAGAGTTGTGCGTGTGTGTGGATTTTGAAGCGACAATCGCACAACAGAGGAAAAAAATGACAGTCACGGATTCAAACCAATTTTTTTTTTCATTCAACCAAAGCCAAAGAAAAACGTGCTAAACAACAAATTTATTTATTCTATAACTGTCTTTTAGAGAGAGATGGAGAAAGAGAGAGAGGGAGAGAAATGAATACACGACTTTTGGCTGTGATTGTTTGTCTTTTCTAATTGCAAATAACATATTTTTTATTTTGATTTTTTTTCGTTTCAGAAACATTGTTGTGGGGTGAGGAATGTGTGGCTAACACCATCGCCATAGGAAAAATTATCATCGAAATTAAAAAAGTATTGCGATTTAACAATTCGCGCCCAAGACAGTCAAAACGAAAAAGAAAATTTAAAGCAAACGACAAAAAATACATACACAAAAGCGAAAAGAAAAAAAGACTAAAATAAAAAAGTGATTTCAATAAATTATGGTAAAATAAGATCATTAGTGCGTAGGTTGAAACACCAAATGTGAATGAAAGATAAATAGAAAGAGTGTGTGTGTTGGTGTGCTTTGGTAACTCTTCGATTTAACACAGGGCACGAGCTGTATGCGCGCGCGCTCTATCTTCATCTTTGCTTCAGATCATTTTCGTTGAATATTCGCTCTAAATCTTATCTCGATTGCATTCATCGGATTTTGGTGTTTTTTTTTTCGTGTGTTTTTTCGTTGGTTCGGTTGTGTATTTTTTCTTATTGTTTATTTCTTCATAAGTTCCGTCCTCTGCCACGAAAAGTGATTGATGAATAAAATTTTATTGTCATTCAGTCGATGTGCGCGTATTATGTATTGTTTGGGTTTTGGTTTCGCGTCGGAAATACATTGAATGTGATTCTTTCAAGCAACGGTTTTTTTCGGAGTACGCATCAAAAATTTCAATTTGCTTGTGATTCATTCGCAAAATTCAAATGCTAAACAAGAGAAAAACCACATAAAAAAGACAATTACCCAAAAAGCAAAAGACAACTAAAAAAACTACATTTTTTATGCGAATTTCGAATAAAGACACGAAACCAAAAAGAAGAAAAAAAAACGGTACGGTCAAAATAGTGAAAATTTGTGTAAACTGAAAAATGTGTAGAAAATGATGAACAATTTTTATGCCAATTCATGATAGAAAATAACCGATGTACGGCATTGAATGCGGATGCGAGATCTAGTTCGAATTTGATTTAATTGATTTCAACGGCAAAAATGTTACAAGCTGAAATAAATAAGGGAATGAGCATTTGTGTAAATTGTTGTTGTGTCGATATTCGTTCGTTATTATTCGATTGATTTGTGGTTTTCACATTGACAAACACAAAAGCGACAAACAAAGGGGAAGAGAGAGCTGGCGAGATAGCAAAGGGGGAGAGAAAAAGCAAAAAACTACGAAGCAAAACGAACACAAAGTGGAGAAGATAATGCCTGGATATTCTCGGCTCTTTACCGATTCAATTCAAATCAATAAGGTCAACATGTTGCAAACCAGGTGAGATTTTATATTGTGAATTCTTTAAATTTATAAACAGAAAATAAAAGAAACTAGACACGCCCTTGCAAAAGGATTCACAATTCAAATGCAAAGTAAGGCAAACGCGCGCGCTCTCACAAACACACAGAGACGAAGGCAGAGGTAGACAGTAGGAAACAAAAAGACAGAGTAGAATTGTGGAAAAAGGTGACTTTGATTGCCGATCAAGTGACAACGGCACCTTAATAATGTGTTATTTATCATTTTTTGCCATACACAATTTTGCATGTGCGCGCGGGCGCACGCTAACACTCCACCACACATCACACAGCGGAAATGTATTCAACATTTGTTCTTTTATTTTCGTCGTCGAAAATATACAGCTAAATAGACACACACAGAGAATTACTACGATCGGCTAAAAAAAGGCAGCGACACTGCATCTTTGGCATTTTAGTGTGCACAGTGTATACATAATGAAATTGTTTGCCATCAAATGCTAGAGTAAACATTAACACACTCCAGTACATCCACGCACGAAATTGTCCAATTATAAAAGTTCCATTGTTTTCGCTTTACGCGATCAGAATATTTCTCCATTCAATATGAACTCTCAATGCACATGCGACGCTTCAACATATATTCATGTTGTTTTTTCGTTACTTCTTTTCTCATTTTATTTTTGCTGAAGCATTGTCGTATTTAGAATTAATTTTTTTTTTCAAATGGCCATTAAAAGTAATGTGTGTGCAAGCTTGCGATATTATGTCTCTAAACATCAAAGCAATTCGGAAACGAAACAGAAACCAACTCTCTCTCTCTAACTGGGTGTTTCTGTTCCGCATTTTCTCCCCGTCCACTCTATTGTAGCGTAGTAAACAAAAAAAAGAGCGGAGATCCGAAAGTGCAGTAAAAAAACAATATAGCAGCGGGCGACAATTGAGTCGGTGCGCTTAGTAAACAACGCATCGTCATCATCAGCATCATCATCAACCGGCAAATTACAATACGAAGCACAATAAGCGCATAAAACATACCATTGAACATTGCTTCCAAATACACACACCGACCTCTATTCACATTGAGACAAAAAAAAACCATACGTGAATGCATAAAAGAATCGGAAATGGTTTTGTTTCTTCTCATTCTCTTGCTCTCCATTTTACTGATTCAATTCATTTGCTGTCGCTATGGCATTACTATGTTTTTTTTTGTCGGTGGTATTTTATAAATTAATCGGTGATGTCCACCCAAATGGACACTTGCTCTGAGACACAATTGAAGAATGAACTGAAAAAACAATAGTCAAAACATCCAATACAATGATTTGCACTCTGATTGCTTCTTTTTTTGCTCTTCGCATTACATACTCTTCGCTCTCTCTCTCTCTCTCTCTCTCTCTCTCTCTCTCTCTCTCTCTCT